CTGAGGCAATCCAATTGTAAACTGAAGGTTACTCAGAATATTTTGATATTACGATTATACAAAAAAGGGAGGTCAGAATATAAGGTAGTGTGGAAAGTCTGATTTTTCAGAGCATTTCCCCTCCACCTGTACCGTGTCTGTTGATAGAGGTTGCATAGCTTGTGTCAATGGATAGATCGGGTAAACCAACAGGACAAGAAGGGAAGCTGCCTGGTCAGGGAAGAGATTGTGCTGGGACTTAGGAATGCCTGCTCCTGAGGGTAAACCCCCGAAAGAATATACAAATCAGATTACTACCAAATACCAACCAACAGAAGCAAAGCATACATAAAAAGCTTAGTTCAGAGGGCCTCCCTGGTGGCGCAAGGGGTTAAGTGTCAGCACTGTGAAGCTATCAGCAGCCACTGCAACACTACTTCCATCTGGCCTGCTGACACACATGATGCAGCAGACCTCTCCTGTCTCACCTGCTGCTCCCCTCAGCAGTGTATTTCAGTAGATCTATTTGCTCAGCTCTCCACTCTGTCTCTGGTGAATCCTCTCAGCCATCCCTTGCTTCTCTGGCCTAAACTCCTGGCCTATACCCCAACTCTTCTGCATAATAAATCTTAAAAAAAAAAAAAAAGCTTGTTTCAACCATATTGAGTATGCTTTTATGTTAAATTAACTAATTCATTTCTTACTTTGTTGCTGATATTTTCAGTATGCTTTTATTAAACAGCATATTCATAGATAGAAGCTGGAATAACAATAGTCATTTCCTGGATATGGGCAGTCTTGTTTTCTTCCTGATCTTTGCTTCCTTCCCAATTTTTGACAGTGAAATTTCATGGCTTTTATAATAAAATAACTTCTGAAAATGAAGTCTTGGGGTAATAAGCACATGTGATAGTGGAAGAACTAGGGACTCATGAAATTATATATGTAAGGGATGAGAAAGTTCAAAGTAGAGATGATAGCCTGACTGTGGGATTCTTGTCAGCTCCCCTTCTAGCCTACAAGAAGTCTCTGCTTGGATTAACAATAAAGCAGGAGGTATCCCTAAAATACCTGTAGACCCACCTCTGAGTGTCCATCTGTCTGGACACCCCCCTCTGAGTGCTCATCTCTCTGATTGCCTCTCCGTGATTGGTGCTTGCTGTCACTGGCCTGGTTCCAGGACGATTTCGGACATGGTGAAATTGCAGTTAGGGAGGGCTTCTTGCAGCCCTGGACATTCCAGCCCCTTCTTGAAGTTTTCTGTATTCCTAGCAAAAATGAACACATTCCTGTTGTGCTGTGAGTCAGATAGGACTCACCTAAAGATGATGGCAACTGAAAAGTCAAAGACCCAGATAAAGATAATAGCTTGAGGTTTCCTACCTGTCAAATCCATCTTTGGCTATTTTCAGTATGAAACTTGCTTATCCTTTTGCCTCCTGACCTGAGATCCTGTGCACTAACAGAGGAGTTCTCCTAGGAATGGGGGATTTAAAGAATCATCCTAAGAACAGAGTCCTCTAAACATGTTGACTGTGAACCAAATAATGCTGAAAATGAAGAACATACATCCTTTTGGGCAGAAGGGTGTTACAATAAAAATGTAGAATTATATGCCTCTACCAATATTGGCATGGTATTTACACATTTTCTATTTATTCAGCCTTTAAAGAGGATTAACATAAAAAAAAAGAGGATTAACATCAAGTGATTAAAAAAAACAAACAGGTGTTGGTGTTAAAGGTTTATCAACTTGTAAGTTTCCTAATAATATAAAGAAATAACTCTCTGTCTTGCAAAAGTTTGTATAAAGAGTCCAATACAGTGCCGGGGACATGTTAGATTGTTCATATGTGTGAGTCACATCTAAACCTGGATTTCTGAGTAAAGAAGTCTTCCTTGTTTTAGTTGGTTTCAGATTCTTAGAGGAACCATCTTCAGTAGGAACTGGACTGAATGAGTACAGCACCTTTTCTCACTACTGGTGTTGCCAGGAAGTGCTGCAACAGGACTTTTTATCTTGTTTTTGTGTCCTGAACACAGATTTGCTTTGCAAAGCCATGGAGGCAGATGACACTTCAAAAGCTGAAGACAGAGTCAAGGATCCAGGTTCCAAAAATGAAGACCAGCCTGATGTTGCTCAGTCTGACTGCCAACCTGTAATGCAGCCCCTCAGCCCCACAGCTCTCTGGGAGGGGCTAGAAAGGAAGTTTCTGGAACATCAACAGTTGGATCACAGGAGCCCCGCTGAACATCAGAAGAGCCTGTTGGGTCTGCTGCCACTCTTTCTAAAGGTCAGTGTTCTTGTCTTTGAAACTGTGAGTTGCTGCTGTGAGGTGAAGATGTGAGATGAGTGTTCTGGAGACACTTCTGGGATGAGAAAAAGCTGAAGTTTTGGTTTTAAAGTTGGTGGTTTTAATTATCAGTGCCAGTGGTCTCTGGTTGCTTAAAAAAGAGACTTGTGCTATTTGATAAAGATGTCAAGTAAGGCATCCTCCAGGATAAGGAAGAACTTGGGAGGATAGATGGTGGCTGAAAAAATAAAAAAGTTGATGGTAGATGGTAGTTGAAAAAATAAAAAAGTTCCAGTCACATTCTCAGCTTGGGAGCAGAACTTCTTTGGGAGCAAAGAAAAGAATGTGTGTCCTAAGACGTGAGTTGTAGGGACGGCTGGTGACCTCAGCCACTTGTGAAGCCAGCATCAGGGCCTGGGGGAGCTAGACTATCTTATATGAAGTTGTACCAATAATGCAAACTCAGGTCGAATCAGCAGGGAGGACCAGAGCAGTGCCCACTTCCCTGGCCTTGGACACATGGGAGAACCCAAGTCCAGCCTCTGGACTCATTCTAACTAGGAGCATCCAGTGAGTTTGCTAAGGGATTTTCATTGTTGTCTTGGAAAAACACTTCTGTCATTGGGGTCTGCCTTCCAGTTGAATATATTGAAGTCTGGTTGTAAAATTATAAACATCTTTTTATGAGAACTTACTTTTTGCTTAACTATTGATATTTGGTTATTATTAAAAAATACACCAATGTGCAGAACACAGAGAATATGTATGAGATACTAGATACATTTGAAATTAGACTAAGACAGATGGAGGCTTTGGTCAGTTATCTAATTCATTAATTGAAAGAGATGAGAGTTTCCAAAGATGACTCAGAATCTTGGGATGTACTGAATATTTACATGTTTTTCTGTAAAACATTGTCAAGTAACTTACTGTCTGTAAATTCATTATTTTCCTCCACGGTTTGGACTTTTACACTACATTTCCCATTTTACAACTGAGATGACTGGGGCATAGGGATTGTATTGAGAAAGAGGGTTAAGAGAGATGGCTCATTCCTCATCCTTCCTGCACTGACAAAACCAGTTTCTGGGGGGTAACTTAGCGTCACCCAAGTTCCCAAGTCCATATTGCGTTTTAGAAGGAAAGATATGAGACAAGCCTCGCTCTGCTCTGAGTTCACTGAGGCATTGTGGAGCGGTGGTCCTGAGTGTAGCTCACCCCCCTCCAGCACCGCCCTGGCTCTGATGGAGATTGTATCTGCAAACCAGGGCTTGATACTTCTTCATCTCTCTCCAGGTTGTTGATTTGTGAACTTGTTTGTTCTGCACATATTTTTGATGTTCTGTACTCATGGAGAGTTCAGTGGGCAAAGAGTATTGAGTAACTCCGAGGACGTGTTTCGTTTGACTTGTAGAAGCTTAAAATGAACCTGGCATTTTTCAAATTGTAAAGTTTTCATTTGAAAATCAGATTTCCAGTTTCTGTTGAAAAATTGGGGAGAATGAACACCAACAATGGATAGAGATGGTGGGGGAACACCCCTTTTCGACAGAAAATAGCCCTGGTCCCTCAGTTACCCAGGCATCCACTCCATAACTACTGTTGCTAGTCCATGGTGCTCACCTCATTCATCTGACCCTGCGGGCCTGCGGGCTTGAGACTCCATGGGCAGCAGCAGCTCCTAGTACCGGCTTTCTAAAAGTTTGTATTACACTACCTCGCTTTTGCTACATTACTACTTTTCCCCCCACCTGAAAAGAATGTAAAAAGGATTTTCAATTTTAGGGCAAAAGTCGGGTCAGCTATTATTTAGCCGTCAGCGTATATAGAGACAGACACATCCAGAGCAGCAAGAGCAGCGCCTCCGAACTCCTTTCCTGAGAGCTCCTTTATCCTGGCTGCATACTGTCAGGTTTTAAGTTTTACTCTATAGGAGTGTTATTTGAAGTTGTGTTATAGGGAAACCTATAGAGTGGACTTGGGTTGCCTGTCTGTGGGGCCTCACCCGTGCGCTCAACATGTAATTTTCTGCAGGGACACACAGCAAGGGTAATGGGTTTATTTACAAAAAGGGGAAAGGAAAAGGAAACAACCTATGGAAAGAGAGAGGGATACAAAGTAGCTGGAATACTTTACCAGCATGGCTAACTTGGAGCTCTAGTCCCAAACTAACTCTGCCAGCCCCTAATCACATGGTCTGAGAGCTGTTGCTCCAGAGAGAGAGAACTGTTACCTCTCCAGAGCCACAGTTGGAAAACCCCTCTCTATTTATCCCCTAAAGCCCCAGAATGCCTGCTTAGCTCCGCCCTTAGGTCCTTGCAGTTTTCTCCTTGGTGCTGCTGGGAACTGTAGTTTTCCAATCGCTGGCGTAGGGGGTAGAATCCAGAAAGCTGGAGTAGCGGTAGAGTCCACCAAACTGTGCAGAGTCTTTAGGACATCCTTCCCCTGAACAGTTGGATGTGTGATTTGATTTTGGGGAACATGCAAGACTTTTCCCCACATAAATTAGTGGTATTTGCCTCTTTGTACTATGCCATTTTTGGCTTGCAGTAGGCTTCGTAGGGTACTCTACTTTTGGATAGCAGGGAAAACCTGTGTAATAGAACCTTGCTAATGGCCTAAGGTTCCCAAGCCCTGTCCTGGTAATTGGGGGCCCATCATGGCACATGGGCTTTCAGATGAAACAGAGCAAGATTCAAGTCTTTGTTCCAAGTGAGCATCCTCAAGTTCCAGTTCCATATCATTCACCAAACTCTAAGACAGGTATTTTGTTAGAGCTTTTGAGCCCTCAAAACTTTCTGCAGTGGATGCTGTTTTTGTGGGAGGGCTGTTTTCATCCCAACTTTTTTTAAATGAGGAAAGAAGTTTAGTGATGCCACCTAACTTGGCCAACTTCCTCCAGTTATTTGAGGTGCAAGTTAACATGGGGAGTCTGCTCCAGGCCTGGGCTGTTGACCACTGTGTACCTTGGGCAGTGCAGGAGTCCACAGCACAGAGCACATCTGGTTTCCGATTTCCTGTCTCATGGCTCACCTCACTTTCTCCTTGGGTATATAAGAAACGCCCCTCCCGCTCCCAGGTGGTATTTGGACACTGACTCCAGCATGTTGCAGACTAGAGGGAAGTTTCACTGCATTGCAAAAGAGGCAATACAGAGCCAACGTCTTGTTGGTGTGAAGAGGGTGCTTTCAGGAAGGATTCAATTGACTGTTGTTCCTGTCATGTCTAACGTTTTGTGCGTTGGTATTTCTAGAACCATATGGCATATGTGATGTCATAGGACATCACACCACGAGAAGATGAGAAGGCATTCCTTTAGCAAGCATGGCAGGTCTGCTGCTGGCTTTGGGCTGAGTTTACTTTGAGGGAAAGGGAATCATTTCAGGTCTTCACATTGCATGGAGATGTGACAGACTGTAGGAGAACTAGAATTTTAGATGTAGTTGTTGAAGACTCTTAGAATTCATAGTTTGAGAGGAAGCAGGCAGTAAGATAGAGCATCCTCATTAATCAGTGTGAGATTCCTCACTGTCTGGAACAGACAACAAGGAACAGGGTGGGATCATATCGGAAAAGAGGGTGATCTGTGGACATGGCAGATTAGACATGCTGCAAGTGGGTTTATCCTCCTGTTTGATAGGTGGGATCTATGTCCCCTCCCCAAGAATCTGGATGGGTTTGAGAGGGTCTGGAATAGGACAGAGGTGACATTTCTGGGCTAAGACTTAGAACTACTTCTTGTCATTTGGGATACTGACTCCTAAAATCTGGCTGCTATATTGTGAACAAGTCTCGAAAGCTCCAAGTAAAAGTTCACTTGGAGAAAAACAAAGACCCTTGACTTTGAAGCTGCAGCTGCAGCGGACAGCCGTGTGTATGCATCATCTTGGAAGTCCATTTCCTAGACATCTCTTAGCTGCCTCAGCTGAGTGGGACATAGAAAAAATCCCCTTACTGACCCCTGACCAAATTGGAGTTTCGTTACAAGAATAAATGATTGCTATTATATTGTTTTGAGATGGTTTGTTTAGCAATAGACAACTGGAACAGACAATTCTTCACAGCATGGTGAGGAAATCCATTCATTTCCTAGTATGGAGGGATTGGAATTAACACTAATTGCCTGCCCTTGAAGGTGAGCTTATTTTTGTGTATGTGCAGGCAGATCTGTATGTGTATGTCTGTATCCGTAAACCTGCACACAGGAGTGTATTCTTAGGCTAACTGGCCAGTGGCGGAGAGTTCATGCTGCTGAGTATGGTTCGATCATCTTCATAAAAACCAAGCCAGGACCCAATGACCATGGATGAGAGATTAGTAACATTAAATATAACAACTAGGTTGACCAGCAACTCTTTCCAAGTGTGGTGTCCGGTGGGCCTGGTACAATAACCCCACACTCCTTTTCCTTCCCTGACTCTCCTCTGAGTGGGGTCTACAACATGGCTTCTTCCCATTTATGACAAACAACATTACTGTGTTAGCAGTTTTAATGTTTCACTTAAAAAAAAACACACACACACACACACAAAAAAAACAAAAAACAAAAACAAACAAACAAACAAAAAAAAACAAATTAGGCCCTCCCTGGTGGTGCAGCGGGTTAAGCACTGCACTAAGAAGCTTAAGCCACTTCCGCATGAGTTCGATCCTGCCTGCCCTGGAGGTGACCACATGGTGTGGCAGACCTCTCCTGACCCGCCCGCTGCTCCCCTCAGCAGTGTACTTCTTGATCTGCCTGTTCTGCTCCCTACTCTGTCCCTGGTGAATTCTCTCACCCTCCGCACCTCTGGCCTGTACCCCAATTCTGTATGAATAAAATAAATAAATCTTTAAAAAAAATTAAAATGGAGAGGATCAATCGTATTGCACTAGCAGGGGAAAAACACATAGTCTCTGAAATGTTTAGCGTTCTCTTAAAGACAAAACCCCCAAACTGCGGCAAAGAAGAAGTAGGCTCATTGCAATCATATTCAAAAACCACCCAAGTTCTCTTTGTCATTCAAAAGCTGGGGCTTCTCCAATCTTAACAGAAGCTTTTGTCATTGCTTATTTTCCTTTGGAGACCAGAATGTCATTTTCTTTTCTCTTTTCCATAAGAGGGGCCAGTCACCAGGCATGATGGTGCAGCTTAGATAATGTCAGTAAATAAAAGTTTTTTAAAATATTGAGCAATATTCTCCCAGCATGTAAGTTCCAGTTTGGGAAAAAATTTGGTCCTTTTGGAAGCTGTCTTAACTCTTTGGGGTCTCCACGGAACCATTCAGTGACTGATTGCCTCTGTGCATCAAACAGCACCCCGGTGGCCTGAAAGAGTTAACGCGGCCTCCAGAAGTGCCCATTGCTGTCCCCGGAAGGAGTGTGAGCTTTGGGAGACTCTGGCTGAGTATACAATTACTGTTCAACTCACAATGGCCCAATTTACTTTATTGTAGAGTGCCTCCCGGAATCCCACTGCTCAAAGACGCTCTAGATGCTTCTGAGTCAACTGCCTGCAAATTGGTCTTTGAGGGGTTTGCCATCACAGGGATGAGGTACAGGAATTGGTTAGGAAGACATCATAGCGGTTTTCAGTCCTGGGGAGGAAAGTAATCTTCCCATAGAAATTCCCAGCCAAAAGGACAGAGTTTTTCTCTCCAGAGATGGAAGTTTCTGGATGATAGGCAGTTTCCAGGTGGTAGCCATAAATTTTCCAGACATGCACATGCCCCTTGGGTCTGTCTGCGTGTGCATGAGGCGATTCAACCCATCGCTCTGCTGCATCACGGTTCTCTGGCTTATTCTCTGGTTCAATTACAGTTTCTGTAAAGTGGGAAGAACAGCAAAGCAGCAACCACAGAGATTGTTATCAGGATGCAGGGAACAGGTGTGTGAGTGCTTGGCTCACTCTTGGGCTCAAGACATCGCTCTCACTGCATATTGTGGGCTTCATGAACATCAAGTGATCGTTAACCAAGTGTTTGTTTAAGGTCTGTCATGTAGTAGTATTTTTGTAGTCTGAGCAAAGTACTCATGGACTGCTTGTTTATTTGCAAAGCAAAGGAGCAACTATGTCTGTCTATAGGATCGAATACATATTATAGATACAAGCCAAGTTATGCTCAAAACATAATGGACACCTGAGTACTTACCATCTCGACAAGAGAAATAAAACATTTCAGATAATTTCAAATCACCAACATATGCATTCTAGAGTTCATTCTGCTTCTGGCTTTTAAAATGGCTACCCCACCTTGAATTACTATTCCTTGTGTGGGGAATATGTGTGTATGTGTGTTTGTACATATATATATATATATAAATATATATATAAAGGAAACTATACATCTGTCTTACAATATGATTATAGAGAAACTGTGAGACAATATGTAAATCATATGATAACATTTCTTATGGATATATTTTACATGTCTAATTTTAAGTAATATTATCAAATAATTTATATATATAGTTTCACAAGTTTTTGTTGAATCACGGTGCAATAGATTTTTGCAACTTGCTTTTTCCACTCAACATTCTATTTCTGGAATCCATAATGACACGTCACTTTATTTCTTTTTAAATTCTATATAGCATATAAGTATGCTACAAAGTATTCATTTATTGTCCTATTAATAAATATTACCCCCTCCCAAATTTTTCACAATTAAAAATAACGCTGCATGGATATTTCTTGTTCATGTCTCCTTGTGCACATATGTGAGCAATTCTCTAGAGGATAAATGTAGGAGAGCCCGTGCTGGTCAGTGGGATGTGCACTGCTTTAACTTTATTGAGTTGGGTGAAATACTTATTTGAAGAGGCTCTTCCATGAGACGCCGTATCCGTAGAGTGTGGGGGTTTATGGGCCTTTACTTTTGCCTGCATTTGCATTGTCAGGCTTTTCTCCTTTACCATTCTGAATAGTATAAAATATCTCACTTCAGATTTCATTTTCATGTTCTGATTATTCATAACTTACGTATCTTTTAAACATTACTTGCTACTTGATTTGCCTAAGAAAATCAGGTTGTTTTTATCGAGTTGTATGGGTTTCAGTACAGTCTTTGTCAGCTCTACATGTTACAGTTTCTCCAAGTATCTGGGTGGCCTTCTCATTTTGTCATAGCATCTTTTAATATAGAGTTTCAAAGGTTTTTTATTTTCGTGAGCATGGTATCTATAGCAAGGAGACAGTGACAGTGATTGCCTTTTGGCCTCGCCTTTTCTAGAAGAAGGATCTCAGCAGGAAGTTAGAGAATTCAGAGGCTATGGGCAGGAGTGTGATGGAAGCTTGAGGGCAGGTGCTACAGTTTCCACGGGGAGGCAGCAGGGTGAGTGGGCCCTTAGTTTGGGCTGGCAGAGAGAGGTGAGGTGAGTGCATGTTTTGCTTGCTAGCTTTGCTATTTCTGATGGAGTCCTGCTTGTTGTACTTCAGGCCTGGGAACACTCCGTGGGGATCATCTGTTTTCCCAGCCTCCAAAACCTGGCAGAGGATGTTTCCAAGCAGCTTGTTCAAGAAATTCAGAAGGCCCTTTTGGGAAAGCCTGCAGGTAAGGGAAGTTTCTGAAGAGTGTTTCAGGGAGCACACAACAGCTCTGCAACCCTCTCCCAGACCTCTGCAAAGCGCCTCCCTGCTTTCTAGTGGAGTTAGAGTGGTGCCTTTCAAAGCGACTGGAGGCCGGTTCAGTCCCTGAGGATCCTGGGAAGATGGGGCAGGCTAGCATAGGAGGCACAGGAGGCTGGGGAACTCTGCTGCTCCTGGGAGGGAGACACACATGTACAGACCAATGCACCACACATATATCACACCCCCAAAACACATATGCACACACACACAGATGCAAAGTACCCCCCACTGACACATATCCAGACACACAGACACAGACACACACACACACACACACACACATGGCCAGGCCCTGGGGGACATGCTAGGATAAACCTTGTACCTGAGTGTTCAATTGAGAACTCAGTCTAGAAGACACAGAGGTCAAAGCATGTCTTCTGCTATGGGATCTCCTGACTTGCATTCTCCCACTCTTGGAGCTGGACCCTGGAGGTTGCTCTCAGGGGTCTGAGGGGCAGGAGGGAATTTCCAAGGAGGGAAATGAGTGTGGTGTAGATCACAGAAACCCCTGCAATATAAGGAGGAACATATGCAATATATACACGGTGCACGATGAAAACTCCGGATTGTGGGAGGAACTTGTTATTATTTGGCAGTAGGACACCAGTGATGTCTGTCGAACAGAACAAGGATTTGCACTTGATAAAGGGTCATCCTCCATGAGGGTTAATCTGGCAAAGAGTGAAATGTTTGTAGTCAGGTGTCACTGGTTGGGGGCAGGAGGCAGAAGTGCCATAGCGATGCTGAGGAGCTGGAGAGAAGAGGGGTGGCAGGTCAGCCCATGGCCCTGCTGATGACATTTGCCTCCCTGTGCTGTTGCCAGAGCAAGCGAGGGCAGCGGCTGGGCAGTTGCTGCACTGGAAGGGTGATGCGGACCAGGATGGCTACCTGCTCCTGAAATCAGTGTACGTGCTCACAGGGACAGACTCGGTAAGTGGTGGGCCCATCCCCTGGCCCGGGGCACCTCGTCCCAGAGAGAAGTCCCAGCACAGGCCTGTTGCATGTCTCAGGAGTGCCTTGCTTTCCACAAAAGCAGTTTCTCCCCTCTCCTTCCCTAGTTCTCTTCTTACGAGAATGTGGACTTAAGGGTCTGAAATGCAGGTTCAAATCTTGTCTTTTCTGTTGACAAGCTGTGTGTAACCTGGGGTAAATTGTTGGCCCTCTCTATGACATTGTTGCATTGTTACTTTAGAGTTGTGATATCAGTGCCTCAATTCCAAGGCCAGTATGGGGATTAACAAGTGGCTGATGCGTGTGGACTGTTTCCTGTCTGTTGGGATGAGGTTGATCGGTCCCATGCCAGTTAATCCTCCTCAGCACTGAGTTGGAGGGTGGCAATGCCTCATTAGTGATGAGAGGCAGGTTCACGTGTGTGGTGTAACTGCAGTCTGCCTGACTTGTTCTGATCCACTGCTCTCTATTCCCTCCTGCTAGACTCATACTGAGGGAACCAGGCCACAGGCACCAGTCCCCTGCCTGCCTGGCTTGCTGCTCCAATGAGTGAGCAACTCTTGCTTCCCTTTCACCCCTCACCCCCAATCCTGGCATCAGAGGTGGAGCCTGGTGCTTCCTCTTTGAATGGTTTCCTGATGGCTGTGTCCTGTCAGGCTGCAGCCTTCCTAGACATTGTGGGGCTGTCCTTGGGGCACTGAGAGATTGAAAACCTAAGCTGGCTTTCAATGGAGTCAGTGTTGCAAGGAGTTGTACAGGGTCACCCCAAGTGGGGTCCCCACAGAGCCAGGGGTCAAACCCAGAGACTAACCCTACCCTGAATTGTGGACCATGTTCACACCATGGCCTAAGTTATGCTCCTGTGTCTGGCCGGGACTGTACGTTCTTCCTTTCTCTTTCTCTAATTTGCCTACCAGGTCCGTCAGATGAGTCATTTAGGTGGGACACTATGGGGTCAGCATAGTTGGGATTTATCCTCGTGGGCTCCCCCTTACAGGGAGGGGGAGCACAGTGAGCCCTGTGGACCAGGAAACTCCACACTCAGGCTGGTTCCTCTCCGCTGGCTTCCTGTCTTTGCCTCTCTGTCTGCTCATCAACCTTGATCTGTAAGTGTAACATACAGATTTCAAGGACTCTGCCCCCCCCCCCCAGATACTGGAACTTCAAATCCCGTCAATACCAAGGAGAAGCATGTTGGGACGTGAGGGATCTGTAGGGTCATCTTGGTTTCAGCACGGTGGGATGGACCCTGGCCAGTTTGTAAATTCAGTTGTGTGTACTCATTAGCCATCCCCTCCTGATGGCGTTTCTGGCTTCCCTGCAAGAGGCTAGGCACCAGCAGCAGAGGTGTGGGTCCCCAGGGAAGCCCTGGTTTTCTGCTTTGCAGTAGTCTATGTCCACTCCCCTCCTCTCCCCCTCTTACTATCGAGCCTACAAAAGATACAGTTTATTGAACACAGTACAGGTTTCCCCATTACAAGAACATTGAATACTCCTGTGAAATCTTCTGAAAGCTGAGTTGGTGGAATGTCAGGATGCAGTTGCCATTAATTCACATGGAAAAAGGTTTGTTCCACACCCAGAAATTAACCCACTAAATCATTACCACACCTGCACCACATTCCAGATGGCTGTCACACATCGTGAAGGCAGGAGTGCTGTGATCAACCCTCTGCTGTATCAAGTAGTTTCTGAAGAGCGACTTTGGCAGGGTTGCTGGCACCCCTAGGGTGCTCCCGCAAGAGCAGGTGCCACAAAACAGACACTGAACATTGTTGTCAATTTCAGACTTGTTTGTCCAGTTGTTGTAAAAGCAAAAACCTTTGGATTTCTTTGGGTTAGTGAAAACTGGTATTGATGTAATTTTGTGCAAAAACAAAATGGTATACTGAGAACTTTTGAAAAGTGGGAAATACCTGTAAACACTTAATATAAACTTAATTTTTGCAGCCACCCTGGGTAGGTCTTAAGAATGTGCTTCCCAGAGGGAGAACTTACCTACTGTCCTGCAAAAGTCGCCTGGCCCACTGTATGCTGGGCCTGCTCCGTAACCCTGGTCTCCTCTGCTCTCCTCTTGCAGGATACACTGGGCACAGTGGCTGAGTCTGGGCTCCCAGCCCTGCTCCTACAGTGCCTTTACCTCTTCTTTGTCTTTCCTCTGGAAAAGGGGGATATCTTTGAGAGTGATGTTCAAATTCAGAAGATGTTTGTGCAGGTAAGTGAGAAAGGGCTGTGAAACCCCAGGCCACCTTCTGCCTCTTGGAGATACTTTTATCTCTCTTGGCTCTAGTTCTGGGACTCGTTTATTTACCTCCAGGACCCAGGCCACCCATCTACTCCTATTCCTCAAATTCTGCAGAATTCTGATTCCCATGTATTTGGAAAAAGGCTTTTCTTCATCTCAGTCTCCTTGTATCCTATGTCCATGTAAAGGGGAATATGTGCTCCCCCCACCCCCCGCAAGGCTGGCGAGTGCCTTCTCCCCATTGTGCATTTGTGGGTCCTGCCTGTCGTCGCTGACATCTGGATCCTCCTGACTGAGGGTCCGACAGTCTGATCAGTCCCATTTGCACAACTGTAGTGAACATGTTTCTAAGACTTGCTGGACATTTGCTTTTGGGTCATGACCAATGTCATATCTGTCCCTCCCACAAGCCCCCTCTTCCATGCCAGGGTGTGTTCGTGCTGTCCTCCCAATTCTGTGATCTTACATAGACTTGAAAGATACAAGATCCAGTGACTAAACTTGAGCCCAGGGCCAGAGTTTGTGCACCAGATGCTGGGCTGGAACCCTGAATTCCAGCTCCCAAGTACAATCACGGCCCCTTTTAACCACTGTGTGCTGTCACCTCTTGCCTCTTCTCAGAAGCATCAAGTTTGATAACCTCTGTTTAAACCTTTCCTTTCTGCCCTCTCTGACTACCAACAGTGACTTTTAAAATTAATTGATTAATTAATCAATCAATTAATTCATACAGAACTGGGTACAAGCCAGAGGTGCAGAGGTAGTGAGAGGCTTTACTAGAGGCAGAATGGGAAGCAGAACAGGCAGATCAATAAAGTACATTGCTGAGGAGAGCAGTGGGCAGGTCAGGAGAGGTCTGCTGTACCATGTGGATCACCCTTAGGGCTGGGGATCGAACTCGCACTGAAGCAGCTACAGCCAGCTTGCAGTACTGTGTCCTAACCCATTGCGCCACCAGGGAGGGCCCACCAACAGTGACTTTTAACACAACTGTTCACCTTCTTCCCCTGCCCACTTTTTGGCAAGTTATGCTTTCTCAGCTTCTGGGATAGAATTTTTTTCAGAAAACTCTTCTGGCTCTTTCTGACCTTGGGGGCCAGGGGTTGAGTTAAAGGATGAGTGGTTCTTTACTCATTTAGAGTTCAGTACCTTGGGTCACACACAGAGAAGTTTCTTAGGTCCACTTAGGAATTTCTAAATACAGCTGTCCAATCGTGTGCACGTTTACATTACCACCCACTTTAGACCAATTCTCAAGCCAGAATCTTTATTATCAGAGAGTATCTCACAATTTCCATGGATGCCACTTATAGTGGGGGATTCTACTTATGGTTGGTGACCCCTTCTACTCTATTGGAAATTTAGGCATCATTTTCTCATAGGCAAATCTATTCTGTTATGGCTGGACATGGCACTGGCCACGTTAGCAAACTTTACCTCATGGTCATACGTGCCCTGCAGAGAACTGGTGCAGCCCAGTCTTTTCCATGGAGAGAATGCAGGCCCCAGTTGACAACCATGCCTGTATTTATCAACGGCTTTCCCCATCTCACTCCATAAAAATACCTGAATTCCTTCCATGTGTGGCTCTATGCAGATGGTGGAGAGTTGGGGGATGTCCCTGCAGCAGGCAGGGTACTCTCTCTCGTACAGGTGACAGAGTGATGGGGAGGCCTAACAGGGGAAGCAATCAAAGCAGACATGAGCAGTGTTCAGTTTTTCAGGCACAGTAAGGGAAGAGTCACAGGTGTGCTGGAAATGTATATGTATGTGCAGGTTCCTGCACGTGGTGTGGTGCCTCCCCTCCCTCCCTTAGCCCCCTATCACTGAACAGGACATACTTCTCACCACTCTGGAAAAGAAGAGAATGAATGTGTCCCAGGAGAGATGCTTCCTAACCTGAGTTTTCTTGGCTTTTCCTCCTTCCGCAGATGCTGTTGAACATCTGCAGCGAGTCTCAGGGGCTGGAGGGGCTTCTCTCGGGAAATGAGCTCCAGTCTCTAGTGATTGCCACCACCTGTCTTCGGGAGCACAGCTGCTGCTTTTGGAAGGAGCCCACCTTCTGTGTGCTGAGGGCCATTTCCAAGGCCCAGAACCCTGCCATCATCCAGTACCTGCAAGGTATGACCCCAGGAGGCCAGGGCTGCAAGACCCCTTTTTACAAGCCCCTGGAAGGCTCTTGCAGCCTCAGTACAGGTTTCTGGGACCAAAAAAAGAAATGGTGCATTCTTTCTCTCATCAGTATCCAATTATGCCCAAGTGATGGCCCTACATCACGTGGGTCCATTTATCAAAGTGAAAACTGTTCATTTTGATGCTCCATTTGAGGAGGTTGGGGAAGGACATGTATTACATACATGCTGTTGAACAGGCACTGTGCTAGTTCTTTTATCACCTGTTTCTTTGCGATAATATTGACATTAAGACCATTTTGCAATGGGGAAAACAGAGATTAAGAGCAGTGGAAGAATGTGCCAAGGCTCCCTACCTGGTAAAGAGCAGAATCAAATTTTGATCCTGGAGCTGCCTGATACCTGGACCTTGGGTTCGGCTATGAGTAGCTTGTGCAGAAGTTAAGACTAGACTCTGGAGCCAGAGCTGGGGTGTGACTCCGGTCTCCTTCATGCAGAATAGCCACAGATGCTCACCACCTTAGTTCTTTCTTGTGTAAAATGGGAGTCATTATCCCTCTGAACTCATCGGATTGTCACGACACTCAATGAGTTGATGTATTTGAAGCACTTAGACAATGCCTGGTGCATTGGAGGCCTGACAGGTGTTCACATCACAGCAGCAACACCTGGTGTGATCACTGGCAAGCTACCAGGGGAGTCAATGCCACTGTGATACCAGGGGTCTCTGTGGCATCATCTGCCTCCCAAGATGATGCTGGGAAGCTTGGACACCATCCTGCTTACAGAATTTCAAGAAATAAAAGCTTGTTCTTCTCTCAGCGGTTGGCCTAACACAGGGTAGGGAGGAAGGCTGCAGGGCTAACTCCAAGGAGAACATTCTGATGAAGCACGCCACTTCATCTGACCTTCCCACCCACCACTTCCACCCTTCCACATTTTATCTTTCATTAGAGCTAAATTGTATTAAATGGGTGGATAAACCACATCTTCTTTATATAATGCTCTATCAGTGGACACTTTTAGGCTGTTTTGCAACCCTAGATATTACAGATTATGTTGGAATAAGCATCATGGTGTATGTAATATTTGTTGTACTTTTTGAGTTGATGGTTTTGTCCATTTTAGACAACCGTGGAATCGCTAGATTATATGGAATTCTCATTTTGACTTTTCAAAAGGATGAAGAACCCTCTCCAAAATGGCACCGGTTTACATTCTCACCAATAGTGTGTTAGGTTTCCTTTTTCTGTACTTCCTTTCCAACACGTCTTGCTGGAGGTCTTTTTAATATGTGCCATTATCCCAAGTATGAGGTAATGTCTCATTCGTGATTGTGACTTGCATCTCCCTTACTAAATGTGATGATTCCATATATCTCTTGGCCTTTTGTGTATTCTCTTTAGTAAATTATTTTTTCAGACTTGCTTCCCATTAAATTGGGTTGCTTGTTGTTTTCGTTAAGTTAAATGAGTTCTTTGTAAACCTTGGATATTAACTCCTTGCCAGTTGTATGATCTGTGAATATATTCTCTCATTCAGTAGGTATCTTTTTAATCTGCTATTTTTTTTTCTGTGCAAAAGCTTTTAAATTTGAGGTAGCCCCAAATGTTTATTTTTGCTTTTATTTCCCTTACCCTAAGAGCGGAGTCTCCAAAGACATTTTTATTATTGGTGTCATAAAACATTGCCAATGCTTTTTCTATGTATTTTATTATTACAGTTCTTATATCTAAGTCTCTTATCCATTTTGAACTCATTTTTGTGCAGAGAATTAGAGAGTGATTCAGCATCATTCTTTGCTGTATGTCCAGTTTTCCCACACCACTTGTTCAAGAGGCTCCTTTTTCTATTGTTTAGTCATAGACTAAGTACTGGAATGTGCATGTATTCTGCTCTGTTGATCCCAGTGTCTTTTTTATTCCATTATCATGTGGTTTTATTATAGTTTAAAATTAAGTAATATTATGCTTCCATTTTTTTTTTCCTCAGGACTGCTTTTGCTAATCAGTACCTTGTATAGCTCCATACAAATGCTAGTTTTTTTTTTGTCCTACTTCCTTGAAGACTGTCTTTAGAATTTTAATGGGTATTGCATTATGTCTATATCTTGCTTTTGGTAAAATAGTCACTTTAATTATATTAATTGAACCCATCCATAAACATTGAATATCTTTCTATATTTTGTATCTTGTTTTATATCCTTTAATAGCATCAGTTCTCACTGCATACATTCTCAGTCTCCTTACTTAGATTAAATCATAGCTAATTATTTTTGATGTGATCTTTAAAGTGGAATTATTTTCTTAATTTCTTTTTCTTTTGCTCATTATTTGTTTATAGAAGTGCAAGGCATTTTTGTATGTTAATTTTATAACTTACCACCTTTACTATATTCATTTAATGTTATGATAGCTTTCTGGTGGGGCTTGTAGGGTTTTCTGTATATAACATATTATCTTCAAATGATGATAGTTTCATTTCTTTTTCAATATGGATTACTTTCATTTCTTATTGTATGATTGCTCTAGCTAGAACCTCAAAAACTGGATTAAATAGAAATGGTGACAGTGGGCATCCTTGTCTGATCTTACAGGGAAAACTTTTAGTTTTTCACCATAGTAAAAGATAGACTGGGTATAGTAAAAGATAGACTGCTACCTGATGTTATATGTTGAGGTAGGTTCTTTCTGTTCCCATCTTGTTCCCATAAATGGATTCTGTATTTTATCAAATGTCTTCTCTTTACCTATTGATATTATCACATGTTCCTTATCTTTTATGTTGTGCATTACATTGATTGATTTGTGTGTGTGTGTGTGTGTGTGTGTGTGTGTGTGTGTGTATCTCAAACCATCTTTGTACTCCTGAAGTAAGTCCCACTTGGTCAAGCAGTATGATCTTTGTAATGTCTTGCTGAATTTGATTTGCTACTATGTTTTTTGAGAATTTTCATATAAATATTCATCAGAGATACTATAGTTTCCTTTTTATGTGTTGTCTTCATTTCGCTGTGGCATTTGGGTAATGTTGGCATCGTAGAATGTGTTAGGAAACAGTTATTCTTCTAGGGTTTCTTATTATGATTTGAATAAAGTAGGCATAATTTCTTTAAACATTTGATAATAGTTTATTTTAAATTTTATCAAGTATGATAAAGTTTCAATAAGGTAGGCTTAATAGACATTTACAAAACATTTTACCCAAAACTGCATCATATACATCATTTTCATGTAAACAACCTCAAGAACAGACCATACATTGAACTACAAATCTATTGTAAATAAACTTATGGAAGTTGTTATCATACCAGACATTCTTTTTGATCATAATGTTATAAAGCTAGAAATCAGCTATTAAAAAGGCTGGAAAAAACCTTAAACACATGCATATTAAATAACATATTGCTCAATAGCCACTGGATTAAAGAGGAAATTAAAGTAGAAATTAAAAAATATCTGGCGTCTAATGAAAATGAGGAACAAATCATCAGGATTTACAAAATGCAGCAAAAGCAGTCTTAAGAGAGAGGTTCATTTCATACAGGCCTACTTGAAGAAACAAGAAAAATGTCAATACTTGATTTAAAATTATACCTAATGCAATTTTAAAAAGAAGTGCCAACAAGAACAGAAGTTAGTAGAAGGAAGGAAATAATAAAAATTAGAGTAGAAATAAATAAAATGAAAATTAACAACTACACAAGAGATCAATAAAACTAACATTCATTTTTCAAGAAAATTGTAAAACCTTTAGTTAAGCTAACAAAGAAAAGAGAAAATATTAGTAAGTAGAATTAGAATGAAAAGGGAGAAATTACTACAGATAGCAATGTAAGGTATTATAAGAGATTATTATGAATAACTATATGCTACCAAATTCAATCATCATGAAGAAGTGGATACACTTTAGAATACGACTCAACCATGAGGAAATTGAAAATTTGAACAGACTGAGGATCACAATTATGGAAAATGAAATAGTAATATGAATTTTCTCCCAAACCCAAACCCAGTATCTGGTGTTATAAGTGAGTTTTGTCTCAAGGTTTTGTAGGCACTTGAATTGATCCACTAATGTGATTTTCCAGGCACTTAGAAGAAGCTTCTCCCAAAGAAAGAGCCCTAAAAGTAGTGAATGAAAATCTAGTGATAGCTCTTTTCTGACTTCCCCTAGCTTCTCGCAGCTCTGGGCTAACTGCCAAGTTCCATAGGCAAACCATCCAGCAGGCTGGGCCGGTCTTCTTTCCTCTCCTTTGTGGCCCAAACATCCAGGTTCCTCTGGCTGTGTTTGTAACTTTTCATCAAGGTAATTTCTGCCAGCTCAAGCATTACCTCCTCTAGGAGGTTTCCTATGATTCTTACATCTTGTGTCTTGTCTGCCATTACTAATGGACCTGGCCTCTCTTGGGTCTTGGGAATTAGGAACAGAGGCTTTAGAGTCTTCTTTCCTTGTCCTGTAACTCCTGCTTTCCATTGGGTCTGCAGAGGGTCGCTCTAAAGATGGCACTGGCCAAGGGGAAGTCTTCTTGATCCAAGAGACAGCAGAGAAGTGTTTTGGATTAATTCTCACTCATGTATTAATATACAATGTAAAGGGGGCAGAAAATGACCTTGGTAAAAAAGCTTTTGCCTTTCAGCTCAACATGTCTATATTTTTGTCCTGTAGCTATGGACTGCATCAAGATCTCCCTCCAGAACCTCTCCAGGCTTGCAGATACTCTCCCTGCTCCTGAGGTGAGTGAGGCTGTGAACCTCATCTTGGCCTTTGTGAAGGACTCCTATCCAGTCTCCTCGGCTCTGCTCCTGGAATTTGAGAACGGAGAAGGCTATCCTCTGTTGCTCAAAGTGTTACTTCGGTAAGTGGTTGTGGTCTTTGGGGGCAAAAGCACTCTAGTCTCCATCTTCAGAAATATTGGGGTGCCTTGGAAAAAGAGATATTGTGGCTTCTCAGAATGTCCTCTGAAATACAAGTCTTCGTAAAGAATGCCAGACTTTTATTGCAAAAGTAGTTCTTTTGAGAATTGATGGGTGATTGTGGTAATAGTTCTACTAAACCCATTTGGGGCTGCACCACCCCCATGCCTGCCTGACAGCCATCTGCTAGCCCTTGAACTGGTGCTGGGTGGGTTACTATTGTAACTGGCTCTACCTGCATTCTTGGGGGCTACAGGAGCTGGTAAATGGACAGCTCCAGGAGCAGCCTTCCAGCAGCCGTCAGACCTGATGATAAATCGCCAGCAAAGCTGCCCAACTGGTAGGCTAGCTCTGCTCTGAGCCTCAGCATCCCCAGGTGGAGTAAGCCCACGTTCACCATGAGGCACTTGCTCCCAGTGCTCATACGCTGGCTTTGTTCCCTCTCATAGTATTTTTAGGACCATGTCACAAATAAGCTATCTTCAGTTAAATCACTGATCCATGGGAAACCCAAACAAAAACACTCTTTAGCTACTGTGGACTAATTCCTTCCACTCTGATTTTCTGTATCATCTTATCATCTTCAGGTTGGGTCCAGGGATTGGGTAAACCAAGGGATAGAAATCATGGATGGTCCAAACTTTTCCATGACTTTGGCTAACATGCTTAAGGGCAGTGTCACATATATTCCCTAGGTTTGATTCTGTGAATATGACAAGACCTTCTCTTCTGTGGGGTGCTGTTTACTTAGCACTGTACTTCACAGACTTCTACAGAATCAGGCTTCTAGACTAGAGGGGTGGCTCAGACAAGGGGTCTGAAGCTCCTCCATCCATGTTCAAGAGGATGTGATTTTTTTATCTTAGTCTGAACCAAGACCAACTTGCTGTTGCTACCAGGGAGGTCTGAGTTCTAGCAGTTCCTGAACATCTCTTTGGTAAAAGGCTGGCTGGCATTTCTTGGGCAGCCAAGGCAAGAGGGGGAACTATACTGGCTTCAGGGTTTCTTTCTGCTCATTGGGTTTCTTTCTGCTTTAACTGAAGTGATGCTGCACGCACTTTTACTCGTTATATGGCGAAGCTAGAATAAGACTTCAGAGACCCTCCCCTCCTAACCCACCTATACACCAGTAACCAAAAACAAAGAGTCATCCCTTAAGTAAACATAAGGAGGGCTAAAACAGCCTGATTGTTTTCTCAACGTATTTGTTTTGTTGCTATTTTTAAACATTAAATTACTCCTTTGGGGGACCTCCCTGTTTGGCTGGTGCCCATAGGACATACCTTTGGGGGGAGGATTCAGTTTGAAAGCTCTTCACTGTTTTCTGTATTCCGATGGCATTTCTTTAGATCCAAGGCTGATGTTTGCCAATTTTTTTTTTTTAAAGTCTGTGGTGTTCCTGACCTTTTGGTGCTGATTCAGTGGATGGAGACCATTGGGTTCTCCCCAGCACTGTGAGGAGGCATTGCTTCTGCATGACATCTGCATGAGCAAATATGTCTGTTTTGTCCAGAGAGTCCAGGGAGTTGGCTTTGTCCCCACAGATATGAGGAGCAGAGTCAGAGCGAAGTGGATCTCCACCTGGAGGAGCTCCTGGAGTCGGTGGTGTGGCTGACGACCTGTGGCAAGTCAGAGCTGAAGGTGTTTGACAGCATCATTTACCCTCAGCTGGAAGGCTTCAAGTTCCATCACGAGGCTTCTGGTGGGTCACCTGTGTCTCTGGGAGCTGGGCAGTGCAGCGTACTGACAGCTGCTGTGCAGGCCTGTGCTGATTCTTTGTGGAGAAACAAACACTTGGCAACTGTTGTTGATTCAGTAACGGTCAGTTCTGTCATGCCTTTGGGGAGACTCCCTATGGATTTAAAATTTTCCCAAATATATTGGGTGGAACTTAGTGTATTTCTTTGCAAAAGAGTGGTAAAAACACTCTGATATACAAGAGAGAGATTCTGATTGCCACCCCACCTCTGGTACAACTTGCTTTGTAACATGCTTTTATGTATTAGGAACTGATGAGCCCAATTCAGCCACTCAGGCTCCATTATTTGGTACATTAATTGATTGATTGATAAGCTCAATCAACACACACTGAGGCTTTCTGTGGCGTAGTCATCCTCTCATGTGCTGGACATCAGGCTATGTTTCTGTTCCCTAAATCTCTTAGGTACCCCACATGTACACTGAGCCATGATCTGAGAAATGCATCAGGCACAGACTGACCCCAGGCAGGAACCTCAACCTTGTTGGCTTGTCAGCAAACCCTGCATTGTGGGCCCCCTGCAAGGAAGGTTTCACGGCTAAGTTTGGGTTTCCAGGTAGAAGGGTAGTTGAAGAAGTTTAGAGTCAGAAAGTATAACCTGGGGAAAGAAATGGGGAATGGAAATGTAGGTGTGTCTGGGAAAGTGAACACAATAGTCTGTGCAGACCAGAAGCCAGAAACTGCGCAGCTGCAGGCGCACACAGGCAGAGTCATTGGAGAGCTCAGGCCAACACACAGGGACGGACATGCCTCAGAGAGGAGTTTGAGAAAAATCTAGCATCCCAAGCAGATAGGGCTCGAGGCAGGAAGAGTCTAATGAAGTGTCTCCTGTGCAAGAGAGAATGAAACTTAACCTTTGAGCTGGAGAGAAAAGTGGTGGCAGGTTTGGAAGGCATCTTATTTAGCAGCCTGTCTAGAAATAGAACTGACTTTGTTTAGTGATCTTTAACATCATTTGATTTTAATGGATTGAAATAAATACTCTCGCAGCACTGTCCAATGGAAATATAATTTGATCCACTTTACACAATTTTAAATGTCAGTAGTAGCACATTTGAAAAAGAAACAGAAGAAACAAGTTAAATTATTTTAATGATACATTTTGTTTAACCCAATAGATTCAAAATAATGCTCTTTCAACACATGGCCAATACAAATAATTGTTAATGACATTTTTTTGCATTCTTTTCTGATGCTGTAACTCGGAAACTGGTATGTATTTTCACACTCACAGGACTCTCTGTTCAGAGTGGCCTTACTTCAAGTGCTCAGTCACCATGTCTTAGACAGTGCAGCTTTTGTCTTTCTCATACTTTGGGCAACTGTTTTTTTTTTTTTTTTTTACTTCTGATAGACATTTACCCACAGGAGCTAAAAAATAGGAACTTTAAGAGGTACTCCTAATGGGAATGCAAGCTTGTATGTCTCAGCACAGACTAGTAGAGTATGACTTACAGAAATGTCTTAGAGAGTTATTCCCCCTTTCATCTTTAGGGGTGACTGTGAAGAATCTTCAGGCCTTCCAAGTCCTGCAGAATGTTTTCCACAGAGCCAGCAACTCTGTCCTCTGCACGAAAGTCCTGCTGGCCATCAGAACCATGTGGTCCTGGAACCCACGCAACTTCTTCCTGCTGGAGTGGACGCTGCAGCCCATCTCCCAGTTTGTGGACATTGTGCCCCTGAAGCTCATGCCAGTGCAGCTGCACTTCTTCAAGTTGCTGGAGTTCCTGGTGTTTGAGCTTCATTATGTACCTCATGAGGTCTTGCGGAAGGTGCAACATCTGATCAAGGAGAGTCCCGAGTCACCATGCACCCTTGTAGCCCTGCAGAGTATCCTCAGGATCTCCAGTGTGGACCTGCTCTTCACCGACATTTTTCGGGACTCAGGACTCCTGGGTCTGCTGCTGGCCCAACTGCGGAAGCAGGCCAAGATCCTGAGGAAGTCAGGTGTGGCCCAGAGTGTGTGGAGGGGAGATGAGGGATGGGGTGAGGTGAGGGTCATTGTCATCGGGACCTGGCCTGTGTACCCTCTCCACTACTTAGCAATATAAGTAGAGTGCCCCCATCTTATCCAACACCATGAGGATCAGAGAAGGTACCCCTGGGGCATTTGGATTCTCAGGGTTACATCAAAGGAATGGAATGTATACTCTCTTACAAAGGGAGATTCAAAACCATATTTCCTTGAGAAGATAGAAAACTAATGGAATCAGAGATTTTTGGGCCTTACTAGATACACTTAAATTTTTCATTGATTCTTAAATATAGCAGGAAACAAAGAGTCTACACCTGGCATTCAACATCCAGAAAAGGAACTGACTTGTGTGATGCTAAGAACTGTGGACACACTTCTGAAGGGCTCAGTGAGGAATGCGGGTAAGGATGGGCAAGCACGGGCTTTTGATTTATGAAACATGATTTATGTCCATTTCAAAGGCTGTATCTAAGAATGACCAATACTAATGATGGCTGAGGCCTGTCTGCTTGTTGATGTTCAGTGATCATCAGTAAATTGGTAGGTAACTCGGGTAACACTTCATAGTTGCTAACTTAGGAAGCAAACATATCCTAAATTTGTAAGACCACAGAGCTCCCCTCCAGATGTAAAATCTGTCAATAGGCTTCTGTATTATCAAAGCTTCTTCAGACATAATATCCTATCGATTCATAGGGACTCAGTATTTCATCCATCTAGATTATTTTTAGTTTCCTGGGGTCATGTGGCTTCCACATTTAAAAAATATATACATGCATAAAATAAATAGTATCAAGGGGTTTGTCTTAGGCCTCAGAGAGCAGCTATACTAAATATGAATGATAATTTCATTATGGCAGAGGGCCCCTATGATTAGGCTACAGAAGATTCCCCGAAGGCCCTGGTCAAGGTGGGGGAACATTATTCCTAGGCTCACTTGAGATTGAATTAGTAGTAGGTTGAGGTTGAGCCCTACTGTTGAGTATACCTCCAAGGTGATTTCCATGTCGTGGGTACCTGCCCAAAACTGGAGCTAGTCTACCATATAGAGTTGATCAGCAGAAATCCAGAAAACTGTGGCTTTTGAATGATCCAGTTACTTCTTAATTATTACTTTCTACACGATTATTCCATGTAGCAATACCAAGCAAGGAGTTCTTTAGATAGTTTAAAAAAGGAAAGTTAACATCTGCCAGCTTTCTCTAGTCCTCCTTCTTAGTCCCCAAGAAACTACCTAGGAATGAAATATATTCTTAACTTAAATTCTGGTAAGATTTTTGGCAGAAAATTGGCATTGGCCATGGATTTGGGAATTATGTAGAAATAAAGGACAGAGGCCTAACGAGTTAAATTTTGTAGTATTTACATTTCTAAAAAAATAAGGACTATTACTCAAAAACAGAACTTACTGTTTCAGAAAAAGATACAGTTTTTCTTATTCTCAGTTCTACAGTTTCTCTTTTTCTCTTCTCATTTCAACAGTGGGAGTGGGTTTTGAATAAAAGCTTCTCATGGGCAGAAGGGAAGCAAACTTTGGAATGTAAGAAAAACTGCCCTTGTAATTGAACCAAGGTGCCAAGGGCCCCTGGTTCTAGCCCCACACTGCCCGTCTGGTCCCCAGTTGTCCTGAAAGACCACGGTATGGTGCCCTTTATCAAGATCTTTCTGGATGACGAGAGCTACCGGGCCCCGTCGCTCAGCATTCTGGAACAGCTGTCAGCCATCAATGCAGAGGAGTACATGAGCATCGTCGTGGGTGCTTTGTGCTCGTCCACCCAAGGGGAGCTGCAGCTGAAACTGGATCTCCTGAAGGTGATTACATCTTTTTCTTTTCTCATTATATTTTCACATATCTGTATTCAGCTTGATTCAAATGAGTCTTATCATTGATAGAATAGGAGAGAGATGACCGGGGTCAGAACTTTGTTTTCTAATTGGAATTGGAATCTTCATCTGTTTCTTAAATTTTCATATTGAAAGTCAAACAGCTCCTCAAGGAAGAAAATTGTTTTCACTTTGCTCAGACTGTACAAGTGTTTCGGTGTCTATTATAGGAAAGAGTCTCCTGCTTTGCTCAGGGAGAGCTCTTCTTGTTTACCCTAGAGCCCAGAGGCACCTTATTGGAGTGTCAGCCCTTGGGTAATAGGCCTGAATTTCTAGAATTAGCAATGCAAAGTCATTATGGTGTTTTACAGATTCAATATCATTTCAAAATCACACTATCAAGAGATCACATCAGGAATAAACACTGTGTAAGTTATTTAACAAAATCATACACTGTGCTCAATACTCTGTGTTCTCCCTGGGCGCCAAGGCACTGCTGGGCACTCGGGAGGATGCCTGGAGCTGCCATTGCTCTCCCAGGGCCAGAACTGTTAGCACACTGCCTCTCCAGTGGGTGGTGGGCTCAATAGGGCCCAAGAGCCTATTCCAGACTTACCCACTGGTGGGTAAGAGAGCAGCTAGTGAACATTTGCAAGAATCTGATGTGGGGTCTGAATTTGTTCTAAATCATCCTGGGATCTCCATGGATGTTTAGAACCAAAGATGTAAAATTAGCTCTTCCTGGCTGGATCTCCTTTTTAGAAGTTGAGAGCAGGCTCTGCATTGCACCTAGAAAGCAGGTTGATGCGCAGGGGATGAGAGGTAGGTACTGGAGTGTGCACTGCAAAGTCCCCTGTGCTCCACAAAGGTTTGCCCTGTCTCAAGTGCATTCACATCCTATGGTAGCCCCTTGCTGCTTTTTCCTGGGGCAGTCTGTCAGCTGCTCGGGAGGAGAGAATTCATCCAGAAATACCCAGCTTGGGATAGTTTTCTCCAAAATGCAAGGGTGCTCCCATACCAATACAGAGGCATATGTGACTTCACCACCTAATTCTGGCAAATGATAACTGAGTTAAAGAATAATGTAAGCAAATGAATTTCCTCTCCACGGCCGGTGGGACTGTGATTGGGTTATGCACAAATTCAGATTGATTTACTAATATACATTTAGCTGTTCAACTTGGAACTTAATTGCATTACCTCACCGGTCTTCCAGCATGACACATGGAAAATTATGAGGAATAACAAATAATAGAATGTGAAATAAATCCTGTTAGTCCTAATGTAGTTAGCGCTTTGCAGCAGACATCGATTATATAGATTCAAGCTGGAGGAATACTAACTCAGAGACAATGACATGGTAACTGAGTTAAGGAGGAGAAAATGTGCTTAACACTGACCTTTCTTGAAATGTGTCAACCCTAGCCTGATTACTTTGACTGTGGCTGATTAAATTTACTCCCTTGCACAGACTCGGCAAGCCTAGGTGATGCATTATCATGCAAAGTTGAATGACAGTAATGGAGACCCTCCTCCTAGGCCCCCAGTTCCTGACAAATCGTTTCCCGAAGTAGTGCAGTATTTATTTTCCTTTATGATAGAAATGTTTCTCTTTAGTTGCTATGAAATTAAGCCTTTGTAATTGGATTTTGCACTCTTTACTTTATGACTCTGCAAATATGAAATTAACCCCATCCCAAGAAATAATAGAGCAGTCGAAGTTCTAATGAGATTAACCCCATTTTAGATAATGATTCTGAATTTAATAAATCAAACAAAGCAACAATTAAGGACAGCCAATCCTTCCTCCTCCCCCCGCCCATCAGGAGAAGGGAAGAGAGGTCTAGGAATGATAAGGGACAGAACCCTCTGAGGGACACATCATAAGGAAGAGTATTGTTGGGATGCTCTTTTTAAAACAAAGCATCTGCTCTCAATACTCTTTGGATGGAAGAAGTCTTTTGAGCAATATCTGGTGTCAGATCAGGCAATTGGAAGGTGGTTTCTTGAGGAAAGGAGGATTTTATTAGTCGTGCAAGCAGTTATTGCTTAGCATCTGATGACTTTGATTTTTAAATCATTCTCCCTTTCTGGTATTTATTTTGTCATCTGTCATATGATAAACAGAAGAGCTGCATTCATTCCATTGCCTTTAACAAAGTCCTAGTGGTTTTCAGGGTCATTTTGAAAGCATTCACATACATTTAGATGGTTAGCAGCTTAGAGCTGCAGATTTGCTAATATCTTGGCGATTTATTTATTTTTCATGGCGCAAGTCATGTGACCAGACACAAGGTCAGGTTCAGACAGTGCTGTGCAGGCCGTCCCACACAGCAAGGTTCAGCTTTTCATGTGAATTATCAGTCAGCAAGAGGAGCCCACCGCTGCCACACATACCTCAGGCAAAGAAATAACACGCCATCAGAAGGGAGTTGCTCACCTAAAGGAAGGCAGAGGTGCAGCTGTCTGCCCCAGCCTCCCTCACCCTCGAGTCCCCAGCGTTGGCAGCTTGGAGCTGCTTTCTACACAGACAGGTCTTGCCCCATCAGGAAGGCTCAGGCTTGCTCCTCCGTGAACTTGCACATTCACTGATCATCACAGTTCTGGAGAATCCACTTTGACATCTGTGTGTTTCTTTTTAAGAACGTGTCTACTTGTCAATTTTTCCTGGGTTTTGAGTCCAATTCAGAAATGTAGTTGGATCATCAACTCACCCAGGAAGACAAAGCAGTCATCACTGCCCTCTCAGTTTTTGTCTCCACCTTTCTGACAGTGTGGAAAGTTCATTCCCCCGAGGTCTGTCCTTGACTTGATTTGATCCCAGTTTATGGTGGTCCTGAGGCTGTTTACTTCAAAGTGACCATTCAGTTTCCCCATCGTCCCCTGAGCAGTGGGGGGAGCATTGATCTAACTGCCAGAAGTCACACGTTTCCTTTTTCTGTAGCCAGGGAAAGGCCTGTTGACTCACATTGGTGAGGATGCATTTTTCTTCCTTATTTTATATTATTATTTGTTCATTTTGAACATAGTTAGCTTTTTGTAGATTCTCCTGCTTGTCTTTGTTGTTGTTCTGCTTTTTAATTTCTCGAAATTTCATAGGCAGGACAGTGGGGAATTTTTAAGAAGCTCCTTGGACATCATTTGTCTTTTCTGAGGGAGTTCTCATCTGTGTGCATTTGCTAGGTCTTTGTATTCTCCTGTCCATCTCCTGCCTCTTGTCTGGCCATCAAGCAGCTCAGGTTTCTTGTAGTGGAATAGCATAAGATAAATTTTGGGCTTTCTATTGTTCCAGCTAACCACTGGTGTTCAGTTAGGATTACCAGCACTTTAAGGCTAGAGTACCCCTTCCTCATACTGAAAATTTGTTTTGTTTTTTTAAAGATTTATTTGTTTATTTATGCATACAGAACTGGGGTACAGGCCAGAGGCACAGGGGCGGTGAGAGGATTCACCAGAGCAGAACAGACTTACTGACGGAGTACACTGCTGAGGGGAGCAGCAGGCGGGTCAGGAGAGGTCTGCTGCAACATGTGGTCACCTCCGGGGCTGGGGATTGAACTCGTGCTGAAGTGGCTTTAGCTTCTTAACGTTGTGCTTTGACCCGCTGCGCCACCAGGGAGGGCCCTAAAAATTTCTTTTTAATGTTTTCTCTCTGAACCGTGCCCCTCCTGTAATCAAGTCTAAATTATGCCTGCCCAGTGTGATCCTAGAGGATTAAATATCTGACAGGACAAAACAGTTCATATCTCCCTCTAGAGTTCCTAGCACAACCGCAGGGCCTGGTTCCTCAAGGAAACATACGTAAGATGCTGGGTCTGAGCTGGAATTCAGTGCAGTTTTGTGAATAATAAACAAATACCAAGAACTAGAGATTTCACTGTTGATTGAAAATCATCCGTATGTTCTTCACTTTTATCACAGAATGCGAACTAGAGTAGTGAACATTTGCTTCTACAACATTTGCTGACTCCCTAGTGGATGCCATGCCGTGGGCTCCACGAATGGCACAATGTACATGCTCAAGAAATGATGCTAGAAGGAACTCAAAGTTTGCTGTCCAGGAAAAATCTCAGCCATCTGCAGAAGGTGGACTCTTATTTGCGTGTGTTATGAACAGCCTAAACTCCACCCATAAGTGTGTCATGACCTCTGTGTTTCCTTCCATTACGTTTCTATCTTGATTTCCCTTATACTTTCATACCAGGTTTTAAGTAGATTCATTTTACTCTTTCTTCATGTAACAGAGGTACCTGTGCCTGCACAGAGGAGATAAATAATAATAAACTGCCTTGTAAAGATTTCACTGAGTCTTCTTTGCAATATAAGAGATGGTTTATTCCCGTCATTTAGCAAATATTAAGTGTGTGGTATGTTCCACAGCAGAGAGAGAACCTGATTTTATGGAACATCAGTCCAGTGGGGGCTTGGTTTTTAAGTAACCTCTGTACTGCCTAAGGAATGTCTTGATGAGGAGCTTGAGGGGTGATGTGAGTACTTGGCTGGAGTGAATATAAGCAAGGGATCAGAGAAAGCTTTTTGGAGCTAGATGCATTTAAGTCAAAGACAAGATAGTAAATCAGCCCTATAAATTAGCACAGATTTTAAGAGCAATTGTTAGAAACAAGGCATTGAAAGGCAACCTGGAATTAAAATTAGGGAGACCAGCAGGCACCTCACTGTTGCCCACAGCTTTGAGCTGGTTGCTCAGCATCAAAGCTCTGCCTCCTGGACCTCACTCTTTCTTTCTCATTGTTGTTTCAGTCTCTACTCCGGATCCTGGAGACCCCCAAAGGTCGTGCTGCCTTCAGAGTGTCCAGTGGGTTCAATGGGCTGCTGTCTCTGCTCTCTGACCTGGAGGGGTCTCTCCGGGAGCCCCCGATGCCAACCTGGGGGCCTGTAGCCCCCAGGCAGACCCTGGACCTGATCCTGCACACCCTCTGTGTTGTGGCGGCAGCCCTGCATCTGGACCCTGTCAATGGTGACTTCTTCAGGAGGAACGGGCTCTTTGAGAAGCTGGCTGAGGACCTCTGCCTGCTGGGCTGTTTTGGGGCTCTGGAGGAAGAGGACACCCCTCTGCACACTTGGGTGGACACAAAAGCCAGGCCATTGACTGATTTTCTGAATGTGGCCTTTTCCTCTGCCAGCCCTCTCCCTCCCAAGATACAGAGCTGCCTGCAGATCATCGGCTTCCTGGACAGCATGGCCAGAGGCACCCTTCACCTGCGCGTGAACCTGAAGGAGTCCCTGTGGGCTGGGTGCCTGTCAGGTGTCAATGCCCGGAAGCGGGAAACTGGCAGCGACTCCCAAGGACTCTTCAAGCAGTGGCCAGACCTGGAGGAGAGGTAGAACTTTGCTGCCCACTTCCACCATAGGGTCATCAGTGTATCTCCCTCTCATCCCCACCCCAAACATCCTGTGCGTGTTGTGTGGTGAGGCGCCCCGGCTACACAATGGGCATGTGGGAATGTCACATGATGCTCTTTTCTCTAATTTAACTATGACTGCAAGTTCCCCTACTGTGGGAGCTGGCAGAAAACCAGTCTTACCAGGATTGGGGGATGCTCTCGGGTCTTACAGAGCCCAAAAGCCTTGCCCAGCATGGGAAATGGAAGGCAGGATTCAGCTGTGAGGTTCCCTCTGTCCTCTGGTGACTGCTGCCGTGGGGCTCTTGGTGGGGCCTGGCCTTCCCGAGCAGCCTTTGCTGACTGACATGTGCCTGTGCATGTTCGCGTGACTTCTTCCTGTTATTTATTTTTTTTCCTGGCCGTCCCCTATCATGGTGATGATTTGCCAAATGTTCTGACCCCAAAGCCCACAGTGTAAGGTTTGGACTGTACCCAAGTGTGGCCACCAGCCTTTATTCTCTAGAGATGACTCCTGTGTCAGATGTCAGCCTGGTTTCACAGTAAGAAAATTTTAAGTGTTTAAGAGTCAGATACCATAAATTGAGCAATTTTTCCTTATTAAAAGAAACACATCACCCTTGACCTTCCCTAATGGCTAGAGAAGAGGAAGTGAAACCTCAGCCTCTCCTGAGAAGGCCTGTGGGATGAAGACCTCTTCTCCCCACAGGACACCAGCACCACATACACTCTGCACACCACGTACACACCAAATGCAGCCCCTTCTCCTGCCTGGTGCACCACAACCCACACAAATGACAGTGAAAACCAATAAGTGGCAGCTGAAGTTGTTATATGCTGACTCCCAGATATTTCCTAGATCTTGTTACCTGGGTTGTCAACCAGAGTGCAGTTCTGGAGGTCAGGAGGACAGTGGGTCAGGCAAGGAGGTTCTTGCATGCTCACCGTCTAGGCTGCTGTTTATCCAACAGTCCATCTGGAGCCACTGGGCAGAACTATGGCATGATGGGGTTTGTGGTCTAGAAGAGGCAGTCTATAACTAGGCCCAGAGCAGTGCCCTTTCAAAAGCAGGAGGCACCCCAACTCTTGGCTGCCAAAGGAGTAGGTCCCTAAGTTAGCATTTGACCTCTCCCAGCCCCTGCTGGTGGTGGAGGGTTGTGAGCTGGCTATATTCTTTAGGTCAGCAAAGGTATAATCCTAAAGACCTATAACTTAAACACAAGTTGTGGCTATAACTTGTGTCCACAGGGGGACATTTTCAATAGAATGAGTGTACTCCAGGAATAGGTGAGATTTAGTGGGTGCTCTGCAGATCAGAACCCTAAACAGTTCCTCATCTTCTCTGTTACTATTTTGTGGCTGAGTCCCAGTCATTCCTGTTGATACAGTATGTCCTTAGGTTTATGAGCTACATCCTAACCTACACCTATGTTGTAATCACCACTGTGAGCCTCATGACCACTGCTAGGGGAGAGCAGAGCCTGAACAGTCCACAGGAAGACCACTCTGGCTTTTGCAGGACTCAGTCATTCCAACTGAAAGCCTCCAGTGATGCCCTATCCTTCCCAGGAGAGAGGCGGACATCCGGAGATTGGCTTGGGCAGCCCTCAGTGCCACGTGCCCACAGAATCACTTCCCCTTGCAGCCACCTTCCCAGCTCAGACTTCACATGTGCTCTTTCTTCTGTCTGGGATGCATTCCCCACCCTAGATTCACCTAGACAGATCTCTTACACTTAATCTCTTCTTAGGTGTCACTTCCTCGACTGTCCTGCCCCTGCCCTCCAGGACAAGTCCTGTGCTTTTACCTCAAATTCTCAGCACCCTCAGCAGCAATCATAACTGAAAGTCAATGACTTTCTAAACTATAGTGTAGCTACTATAGTTTCTCATTTCTCTAGCATATCTGAAGCCAGGATGCATGCTAAAACTGATGTTCTAAGAATTTTACCAGGCATTTGAGTCATCTTTTCCCCCCACATGCTCTAACGCCATATTGCATCTGTCATCCCCAGCTTTTTCCACTGAGGCAATAGGCAGTGACTGAATTTCCCACTTCTGGGTTGGCATGGCACTGCACCCTGATCTACATTCCAGGCCCCATAAGCAGGCTGTTGAATGAACTAAGCACATGAATCAGTGGGAGAATGGGCAAGGAAAATAGCTCAAGGGTGGCTGGGAGACAGCAGGGGTCTCCCGATGATGCTCTGTGGGCAGTGGGCAAGGGAGCGAGATGACCAGGTGAGCACCAGGCCAGGCAGGTGCCCTTCCCTCGTGTGTGCTGAGAATCAGCTGGCTTGATGGCGTCCCCTGAGGAACACAGCTGGGACGTTAGCTTCTCTTAGCATGCGAGTCTGCAGCTCTGCTGTGGCGAGCCCTAGCCTTGGACAGAACCAGAGAAGAGATGGAACCTCCAAGGGCAGGATGCTCCCTGACTTGGAGGATATCATACAATATACATGTCCTCTCGGAGATGTATGCTGTGAAATGGGGAGCTATCTATCACTGTGCCGTTTAAGGACTTAATGTCTCAAATATATAAGAGAGCATCTGGACTAAGACCTAGGAATTGCTCAGGTTCAAAACCTGAGGAAGGAAGACTGGCCTTTCTGGATGCCTGTGTAATATGCAGTGAGCTGGAAAGTCTCTGTGAAGAACCTTGGTCAGCTGTAAAGATGACGCGATGGAAGGTTTTGCATTTGTCACAGTAGCTGAACCTCAGCCATGACCCCAGGCGCAGCACTCTACAATAGTCCAGGGTTTGCTGGAATTGGGAGCTCCACACAGCAGGCTTCATTTAGGTCTGCCTTTCTGTGACTTTAAGGTTGTCTGTCTGAAGCTGGGACTCCTCTCAGTCCTCCCTGATGTCAGAACACCATTGTTTAAGAATCTACTCCTTGGGCATCCCTGGACCTGGACCTTAGGTGTCTTTGGAGGTGGTTTGAGTTCTTGCTGTCACGCCCTGTCTACTCCTGAGTTCACTTTTCCAGGTCTTTGGAATGTGACGTCAGATCTGTACATGTGCAGCTCAGAATGGAGCTCAGAGTTTGATAGGAAGCTTAATGATCTGGTGTTCCTGAGTGTCCTTTTTAATCATCCCCCCACCACTTTCTGGCTCTCAGGAGCTCCTTACTTATTCTCTGACTAGCCAGGTGGGACTATAGTATTTTTCACCTTTCTCATAATGCATCTGTGTCTGGGACCAAGCAGGGAGAGGAAAAAAAAATCAGTGGGGAGATTACCTTCATTCTTAGGACTATAGTTCCTTTGGCCAGAGAGAAGGATTCTTTCTGTTGCTGGTTTTAAATGCTGGCCTGATGCTGCTGCTTGCTGCCAAGTTGCTGTAGGTTGGCATGAGAAACAATGGAGAAACCCAGCGAAGACAACGCAAGGGTCTCCTCCAAGCTGTGCGACCTGTAGGCATCCCCTCTCCTGCTGGACCAGCAGCAGGAGCTCTCTCTTGGGGCCTTAGCTGTCTGCCTACACTGGCGCAGGCTCTGAGTATCTGGCACCCTTATTAGGGGGTTCTGGAGGGGAAGCTTCAGGAAATTCATTTCAGTTGATTGTTTTTGGGGTTGATTTTCCTTTCCTTCTCTGCTGCTGTTTTTAGAGACCACAGAGAACAGCTCATTCAGCCTTCTGAATTTTTGGTTGCTTTCCATGATAGAATGTACCTACACCATCTTGAAGAGATTCAAAAGTGTGTGTGTGTGTATTTAATATAAAGTGAGAATGTTCCCTCTTCTGCCTTTTGTGAGAGAAGGGGAGAGGATGAGGGAACTGACTTCTGTTGAGCGTCATATGCACACCAAGCAGTGCATCCTGGTCACAGAAGCATTGCCCTTGACTCTCCGTGGACAGTGTGCTCTTGTTAACACCACTCTACAGCCTGGGAAAACTAGATTCAGGAAGTTATATAAATACAAAATGGTAGTTGGAGGATGTGTATCATGGCCTCTCTTAGATTCAGGAAGTTCCATGAAGAGCAGAAAAATCTGGAAGGCTTAAGTCTTATGGGCTGCTTCTTCTCTTGCTGCAGGATGGAGGAAGGTGACTCTGTGATCATGCACCCCGGGGTCCTGTGCATCATGGTGAGATTGCTGCCGCGGTTGTACCATGAAGATCACCCCCAGGTACCTATTGGTGAACACTTGTTTGTCTTTTTCAGCCCTAGCTAGTGCCTCTTTTCCCTTTATGTCTTAGTTCTCAGTATCCTGCATTAACAGAGACACTCTTTTGAAGTGCAGGGGAGAATCAGTATGTCAGAGGCTCTGGTCTGGGTTCTACTAACACTTCTAAGGTTTTTCAGAACAGTTCACGCCTGTTGGCACAGTGACCTAAAAAGAGCAGCCAAACTCAAATCAACTGAAATGATTTAACCTTCTTGAGTGAGCGAGCCCTGGGTACTAGTGCTAAGTATAGCATTACTAAGCACTACTGAGTGCAGCACTAGGTATCGGTGGGACACAGTCCTTCTCTCCCCAAGGGTGCTTGGTACTCAGCACAGGACATGAAGGACTAGAAGAGAGACACTGCTCACAGAGCAGTGATTCTCTAGTGGGGACCAGGAGGGGCTGACTAAGTGAAGAAGCACACACAAGAAGGTGCAATTACAATTTTTGACCATAGCCTAGTGGCACAGTGGGTTAAAACAAAGCACTGCAAGCTAGCTCAGCTGCTTCAGTGAGAGTTTGATCCCCCACCCTGGAGGTGACCCACATGGTGCAGCAGACCTCTCCTGTCTTGCCTGCTGCTCCCCTCAGCAGTGTACTTCGTCAGTCTTCCTGTTCTGCTCCGCACTCTGTCTCTGGTGAATCCTCTCACTGCTCCTGTACCTCTGGCCTATATCCCAGTTCTGTATGCATGAATAAATAAATCTTAAAAACAACACCACCAACAAATTTTGGCAAGATATGAAGGGGAAAAATAAGGTGCCGAGAGAGAATAATGGGAATGTAAGTGGGGAAAGACCTAATTAAATCTGATATAGTGAAGGGGTTGTGGTCAGAGACCAGCCGCTGTAAATGCCTTAAGCATCCAGTTGATGGATAAGTTTTGACTCCTAAGTCAAACATCTTCCATCCATCCACTTCCTAAGTCTGGGGCCTTACTGTCTTTGCCTTGGCCTTCAAGACAGGGCTTGCCTGGAACATATTGGAAACTGATGCACACTGAAGATTGACACTGTGCCAGCTCATTAGTTCATCAGTAATAACAGTAGCTCTTTAAAGTACATGAGACTGTTCCCATTTCACAGGTGGGTGAAGCCCAGGTTAGTTGTGTAACTTCCTAAAGTCATGGACCGGTGAGAAATATCTGTAACTCATCCCAAGTTGAAGACCAACATGCATGTCATGAATAGGTTTCTTATCTCTGAAGCTGTCAAAGAATGCGAGATCATGGAATCTGGCTATTGTCAATTTCCCAGGCATCACCACCTCATTGCCTCTCAGGTTTCCCTCACTGATTTCATATATTGTCATGCACTTGCAGCAAGAGTGAGCAAACCAGTGGTTTGGGGAGTCCTAGCAGTCAGACAGGGCCTGGCGGATGCTTTGTGCCAAATTCCATGGCAATGATGACTGATGAAGTGACATGGAGACACTGCTGTCCCCTGCAGGCACCAAAACTCCGTGGATGAGTCTGAGCTTCAGATATATGTCAAGAATTGTCGCATGAGTGTATGGGGAAGAATTTTCGTTCATCCTGTGATGATAATTGGACTTTAAGTAGGCAAATGAGAATGCCATTTGGTAGGGTACTTTTTCTCTTCAGGTCACGATAAGTAATTTAGGAGAATTCTCGTTCTCTCTCACTGTCTCAAATATGCAGATGAAACGTGGTCACGCACCTTCTCAAGTATTTCCTGCAGTTGCCATATCAGCAGCTATTAAAAGTTGGATAATTACAGTAATTAATTTCGGGAAGGGTGGTGGGAAATCTCATAACAACAAAGAGGATAGTAAATCAAATAAGAAACGAGACCATATAAGAAATGCTGACCTCGACTGCCTGCGAGACTGCAGATTTTGAGGCAGGAATGGGAGCAGGAGTTTCAGCAGATGGCAGTGTTACTAAGAAGATGGAATGTGAGTTCCCTGTCACAGCTAGGTTTGCTGGAAGCTTCCTAGCTTTCCATCTGCTCTGATCCACTTGACATTCCTCAGCTGCTCTTCAAGTCTTGTGCAGGAGAAATTGCAAGCTTTCCAAGGTGCAGATGTCATTTCAAAAGGGGCAACTTACAAAGCAGCATACATAGGCTACCTGATTTATTGCTAGTTGTGGCTGCATTCTTCATTCTGTTGACAAGAGGTGTTTGTCCCCCTCGCCCACCCCTTTCTAAAGTGCTAGTTTTGCACACTGCTCTTGGAACCTAGCTGGCTTTTTTTTTTTTGCTTTCCGGTGTCAACACCAGTATTAACGCTGAACCGTGATATTTTACCATGACTGTTGCTGACTAAAGCACAAGTATAAGATGGAGTCCAGCTGCATTCTCTTGGAACTGAATTGACCACAGAAGAAATCGGAAGGGAGGTGTTTACCCTTTCTGGCATTCAGAAACCACAAGGATCTTGCCATAGAGATGTGGCGCTGGCAGGGCTCTGGCCAATTCTAGCCAGAATTTCTGATCCCAGGCACATTCTCTGTCTACCAGGGCTGTGGCTTTGACTTGTTAGCAAAGGTTCTTTGCTTGTCCAGGTAGCAGGTGTACCTCACAGAGCAGGAAGCCAGGTCCAATTTAGCTGAGATCGGACTCAGCCTGTGCTTCAGCAAAAGATGTGAAGCATTTATTGGTGGTCGCTGGGGATTCGGAGACAAATCTCACAAGAACTCAGTCTGAGTTTGAAGGTAGGTAGGCAGAGGAGTGAAGACAGTAAGATAGCATTCTAATGACTATAACAAGGTTTGTCTATGTTGGGGAAGAGGGGAAGGAAGTTGGGGACACTGAAGAAAGGCTTTAAAGAAAAGATACGCCCATGCAGGATCAGACAGGGTTGGGTGTGGGGAGGAGAAAAATTCAGACTCACAGAGAAGTATGCATGAATGTGCCCATTTGGGGTTACTGAATAGTTCAGTTGGGCTAGATTGGACCATGGCGGGTAGAAAGGCAGTGAGTGGAAACGGCTATTGAAATCACATCAGGCAGGGCCCTGAATACCAGTTAGGAGACCTGAACTTTGTTGGGCCACCACCCATTGTCATTGTCATTACCATCCCCGTTATTGTCACCATCAACATACCTACTATGTTAATAGAGACCTCTTACGTGAGGGAGAGTTCAGGCACCGATGACAGCAGATTTTGGTCAGATCTCAACTCTGCCACTTAACAGTCACAGAGCCATGAGAAGTTGTTTAACTACTTTGGTCCCTGACTTTCTCTGCTGTAGTATGGGGATACTTTGGTCTTCCCTGTGGCATTATTGTGAGGATTATATTAATCAGTCATGAGTGCTTAGCATTGCAGCTTGGGGTGCACAGTAGTGTAACCACAGCTTGTATGTTGTCCTAAACTATGCAGGCATTGTATCATTTAATCATAATAGTAATCCTGAAAGGTGGCTGTTAATATTTTATATTGTGTAACAATCAGGTGGCAGGGACAACATTGTTGCAAGGTGGCAGATATCCCTGGAAAAAGTTTCCTGGGTTTCCTGACTCTGTGCTAAGTTGCCTTTCCTGTAAAGAGGTGGAAGCCACTGTATATTATTGGAAAACAATGCCATGACCAGACTTAGGCTTTAGAAAGACTGTTGTTCAGTATGTTGGTCTTTGAAAGGGGGAGATGGGGAGAGGAGTTCCTGTAGACTTGACTGAATGAGTTGGACTCTAGCAGAGACTTGCTCTTGGACCCCAGCTTTCTTCCTACTAGAAGGAGGCGCACATCAAATTCTGCTGCCTTAGAAACCAACTGCCTTGTCTGATGGGACAGAAAGAAGATCAGGTGTGGGGCTATATTTGTCTGTCAACTGAATTGTGCCTTGCTTTGGGAAAGGGCACCATTTTCTGGAATGGCCTGTTTTTAAATACACTGAACTAATCATATGAGTTTCAAATGACTACAATATTGACAGCATTAATAGCTTTGCATAGCACAGGCCATTTGAAAAGAAAGCCATTTCCTCTAGCAAGGACATTAGTAAATTGGAAGCCTTGCTTTGTTAAATTATGACACATTAGAAATTCCATGCATATTCTTGAATTCTGTCTCATGCTTTTTCATACTGTATCTCATCTCTAAAATGTATCTATTATTCCTGAGCAGAAAATCTCACATCCTGATCCTATTCTCAATTAAGGTGACTTCTTAGGGCAGCCTCTTAAGCAGAGCAAATAGACTTTCTTGCATAAGGAGGAAGAGGATCGAAAGCAGGCTACAGTGTAGGCTTAGAAGTTAAAGTTTGGTGGGATGAGCTCCAGCTTCAGTTTGGTTGACCTTTCCTTTCAGACCTTTTTGCTATGTTTATTTATATCTCTTATGGAGACTACTTCCTTGTTCAGCTACTTAGATTTGGCTTACCTAGTTCACAGGGATTACAGGCTCAATGTTTTAGGGGCCAGAGAATAAAAGACATGCATCATCAAACCAGCCCTGAACAGTAGGGAGTGGTGAGGATTGTCACTAAAGGGAAGGGTAATTTTCATACCGAAAAGTACATTAATTAGGGTAAAATAAAAAAGAAGCAAAACTAAACTATTTCCCCCACTTGACACACATTAATTTGTGACCCTCATGAGACACTAAGTTCCACCCCTTGTGATTACATGACACAGTGCTAAAACCATAGGCTTCAGAGTAAAACTGGGTGGAGGTACCATTTTTCTTCTCATTAGTTTTATTACCACAGGAACTTGATGTAACCTTTTCCAGTTCCAGTGTTCTCCTAATAATTAATATTTTCCTATTGAAAAGAGTGACAGAGAATATTGTTGTAATGTACTTAGTAGTATCTGGCACATATTGCCAGGTAGATGCTATCAGGCCCCCCACTTTTGTTCTGGAATTAGCAGTTTATGTTCCTACCACTCTGGGTCACAGCATATAAAACTTTGGAAACATCCAGTGGAATGTAATACATTTTAGGTATATTTCCAACTGCTAATTTATTACTGGTTAGTTAATAATAGAGAAT